CCTGAACTGGCCTTGTCCTGTAGTCAGACTGATGACTATCTTAAATATCACCGTAGATCCTCCATCCAGCAACTGATGCAAGCAGAGGCAGAGACCCACAGCAGAGCACTGGGCTGAACTCCCAAAGTCTAGTCGAAGAGTGGGAGGAGTGAGAATACAAGCAAAGAGGTCAAGGCCATGATGGGGTTACCCACTGAAACAGCTTGCCTGAGCTAATGGGAACCCACCAACTCTGACCTGACAGTGAGGGGACCAGCATAGGACCCAACTAGGCCCTCTGAATGTGGGTGACAGTTGTATGACTGGGGCAGACTGTGGGACCACTGACAGACCAGGATTTATCCCAACTGCATGTACTGGCTTTTTGGAGCCTATTCTCTTTGGAGGGATACCTTGCTCAGTCTAGATAGAGTGGGGAGGGCGTTGGTCCTGACTCAAAGCAATGTGCTAGACTTTGTGGACTCCTCTCTGAGGAGTGAATGGGAGGAGGTGGAGGGGAAGGGAGGAGGGGAGTGAGTGAGAACTGGGATTGGTATGTAAAATGAGAAACGAAAGTTTTTACTAAATAAATAAATAGAAACATACTGTTGCCAGGCGGTGGTGACACACACCTTTAATCCCAGCACTCGAGAGACAGAGGCAGGCAGATTTCTGTGAGTTCGAGGCCAGCCTGATCTACAGAAAGATCTCCAGGACATCCAGGATTACATAGACAAACTGTGCCTTGAAGAACCAAAAGGAAAAAAAAACTAAAACAGACAAACAAACAAACAAACAAAAATCAAGGAAAAAAATGCACCAGAAATGTAGTCATTGCTTTGCCTGGAATGAGCAATGACCTGAATTTGATCATCACTAACATACACACAGACACCTAGATGCTCACATGCTCACACACACACACACTCACACACACACACACACACACACACACACACGAATTCACACAAACAAAAAATGCACAACAGACTTGAATAGGCAGTTTACAAAGGAGAATTTCCAAACGACTATTAAACCTGAGATGTTGTTCAATGTTATTATTTATCGGGGGGCAGGGTGGGGGATGCACATGAAACCATAGTGCAATACCACACACTCACTGGAGTGACTCAATAAAGAGGTGGGCGTGCCAAGTCTGGGGAAGATGGCAGGACTGTAGGAGAGCCAGCCGCTCATGGTCTGCTCAGAGGATCGAAGACTCAGAAGAGGCGTGATCTACTGATGTTTCAAACACACAAACAAGGTACTCAGACAATCCCTCTCCCACTGGAAATAGACACTTGCAATTCACTCCCTGAGACCTTCTTTGTCTTGTCATATGATTATAAATCTTTCTTCATAAGACAAGCTCACCTACCATCTGCCTCCCATCCATGCGATGGACAATATCCACACCACTCTTACTTACCACATTCTTTTCCCTAACTTCCCCAGAGTTAAGTCATATGAATGCTTCATTTCAGCTGGAACTCCTAGACAGCACTTCCTATATAACTAGTAATTCTTCCTCAGTGTCTATTTGATAATAGATCCTAAAGCTACCGAAGCTACTTCTTTCTTCTTTTTCTTCTCCTCCCCTTCGACTTCTCCTCCTTGTCGTCTTCTTCTTCTTCTTCTTCTTCTTCTTCTTCTTCTTCTTCTTCTTCTTCTTCTTCTCCTTCCTTCTTCTCCTCTTTCTCCTCCCCCTCTTCCTCCTCCACTTCCCCCTCCTCCCCCTTTTTCTTCCCCTCCTCTTCCCGCTCCTCCTCTTCCCCTCCTCCTTTTCCTCCTCCCCCCTCGTCCTCCTCCTCCTCACCATCGTCCTCCTCACCCTCCTCCTCCCCTTCCTCGTCCTCCTCGTCATCCTCCTTCTCCCCCTCCTCCTCCTCCTCCTCCTCTCCCTCCTCGCCTACTCGTCCTCCTCCTCACCCTCCTCCTCACCCTCCTTCTCCTCCTCCTCCTCTTCTTCTTCTTCTTCTTCTTCTTCTTCTTCTTCTTCTTCTTCTTCTTCATTTTTTGAGACAGAATCTCTGTTCAGTCCTGGCTGTCCTGGAACTCACTATGTAGACCAGGCTGGTCTTGAAATCAGAGAGATCCTCCTGCCTCTCCCTCCCAAGTGTTGGGACTAAAGATATGCACCACCATACCCATCCTAAGGCTTCTTGAAGTGAATTAAGAGAAAGACAAGGCAGGTAGTGCCTCCCTTAGTCCCAGTACTTGGGAGGCAGAGGCTAAAGAATCTCTGTGAGTTCAAGGCCAACCTGGTCTACAGAAATCAGGAGAGCCAGGGCTACACAGAGAAACCTCGTCTTAAAAATCAAAAGAAAGAGAGAAAAGAGGGGAAGCATCTATTAGTAATGTCTCAACTCCCCTCTGCCCTCCATCCAGGTCCTCCTATGGCCCAGAGAACAGGCATTCAGACAAACCTATAGGATGTCAGCATGGGGAGAAGTGACTTGAGAAAGAGTGGTTATCACGTACCATTCTCTTGGCTGCCACCTGGCCCTTGTTCTGATGCCTAGAAAACAGTATCCATGTACCACAAACTAAAAAACCAAGTAACACAAGGCTGAGATACGCTGGCAGTGGGGCAGCCAGGCCCCACATTAGCGCCATTCCTCAAGCCTATGCCCCCTCTCAGCTACAGCTTCTGCCTTTATAGTGAGATTCCATGACAATAGCCCCTGCCAGGGAAAGCCAGGCTGTGGGCATGCTCAGGTACCAGCTGCTGCCCTTCCCTGTGTCTGCCCGTGGCTCTGAGAGCTCTGATATCTAAAGCTCAGGGAAGAATCCATCTGTGAATCTCCTAGGATTCAGCTAGGCAGACTTGTCATTAAGGGAGGCGTGATGAGGCAGACTGATAACCTGGAGACAGAAATTATGACAGTAGACATGGTGACTCATATCATACTGACTATAATCCCAGTATCCAGGGGTCTGAGACAGGAGGACCAGAAATTCAAAGCCAGTCAGGGTAACGTGAGACTCTGCCTTCAAACACTGAAAAACAACACAGCAACCAAAGCCAAACCAAGCCAAGTCTGCTAGAGCCTCCAGGACCACATAGGGACCCTGAAATTATATATAAATTACATTAAAAGGGACCGGTGACTCAGAGAACCGACTATCATTTTACATATATTGAAAAATATGTAAAATTCATGGCGTGAGCGAATGGACGGGTCTGAGGTCTGAGTTATCACCGCCACGAGAATTAGGCCTCCTGGCCTACATATCATTCCCAGTGCAGATACCTGCGTTTCTGAGCTCAGATGTGAAATGTAATATTCATGAAATAGGAAACTATCTTAAGAAGAGGCCCATATGTATACGAAAGCTTGACTTATGACAGGGATGGTATAACAAATTATTGGGCTTTCAGTAAATGGTTACACAGATGGAAAAAATAAAGTTGAAACTCTACCCACATCACATACAAAAATAAATTCCAGATGGAAAGCAAAACTTAAGAATGTTAAAATATAGGAGGGAATATGGGGAAAAGTTTTTAAATGAGACCTCAAAAACCAGCAATTACTATTACTATTATTTTGGCAGCACTGGTGATTGAACACAGGGCTCCCCTGCACTCTGCCACTCAACTATATCCCTAGACTCAATTTTTTAAACTAAGAATTTGTTAATTACATTTTTAGTTCTTTGTTTCTATTTTGCAAGGAGCACACAACTTGCAGGAGTTGGTCTTCTCCTGAGGGACTAAAGCTGAGTCATCAGGCTTGGACCAGTATCTTTAGAGGCTGAGTCATCCCATTGGCCCTTCAATTAATATTTAAAGGTGTGTGCTACAGGGCCTGAGTCTGATCCTCTAGACCCACACAGTGGAAAGGAGGGATCTACCGCCTCAGAGTGTCTTTTCTTTTTTCAAGACAGAGTCTCTCTGTGTACCTTTGGAACTTGCTCTGTAGACTAGGCTGGTCTTGAATTCACAGAGATCCACTTGCCTCTGCCTCCTGAGTTCTGGGATTAAAGGTGTGTGTCACCACTGCCCGGCTTCTCAGGTTGTCTTTTGACTTCTACTTGAGTGCCATGGCATAATGCTTCCCCCAACCAGTTCCATTACATAAATAACTACAATAAAATTTTAAATGTCTCAATACTAAAGATACCTAAAAGAGAGAAAACTCAAGCCACACATACTGAGAAAAAAAACTACAATGTAAGTAACCATCAGAGGTTATATACAGAATTTCACATCTCTAACAAAGAGGCCACTTGACTTTCACAATGCATAAGGGATGAGAAACTGGAAGTCACAGAAGAGAAATCCAAGTGAACAATAAGTAAGTGAAACGGCATTGCACACACACCACGCATTTCAAGTCCTGGAGAGGACGTGGAAGAATAGGAACTCTGACTGGGAGAGGAACGGACATTGATCGTCCTCTTTGGAGAGCAATGGGAGACACTTAGTCAGGCTGAAGGCACAGCTGCTCCTATGATTCAGCAATTCTGCTCTAAGCATGGACCTCAGCAAGTAGCAGTAATGTGATTAAAACCACACCAAACAACAAACCCCCCAAACAACTAGGGGTTGAAGAAATGGCTCAGTGGTTAAAAGTACTGACTGTTCTTCCAGAGGACCCAGGTTCAATCCCCAGCACCCACATAGCAGCTCACACCCACCAAGTTCTAGGGATCCCACTGCCCTCTTTTGGCCTCCAAAGGCATAAGGTATGCACATGGTACACAGCCATACGTGCAGGCAAAATATCCATTCAACTAAAATAAACCTTTAAAAAATTAATACTCAGCAGGCTGTGGCAGCACACACCTTTCGTCCCAGCACATGGGAGGCAGAGGCAGGTGGATCTCTGATTTCGAGGCCAGCCTGGGCTACAGAGTGAGTTCCAGGCCAGCCTGGGTTACACAGAGAAACCCTGTCTCAAATAAAATAAAACCAAACCAAACAATGAAAAAAAAACCCAAAACAAACAAACAAACAAACAAAAAACCACTCTCTAAATGCTCATGAGTAAGAGATGAGGTAAAAAACTAAATGTAAATGCAACAAAAAGTTCTGATTTAATAGCACTAGGCGTGGATAAGCAAGTATTAACAATAGGTCATGACTCTCAGCAGCTGGACTTTATTAACGATTATGTGGCAGGGAAGGATGAGTGCTTCCCTCTGACATAGGTGCTGTCTTCGTTCACTGTGTGGGTTAAGACATTAAGAAAGACGAAGTAACTTTGGTAAGCTCACAGAGCAGTAAGTACGGACAGGGTAGCTGACGCCAGTCCCATCCTTACAGACACACTATGTGGCATGCTCGTCTCTACACCTTCTGCACGATCCTAAGCTAGTCTTAGTTCTTCCTTCCATGCTTGGAACATTTGGTGACAGAAATCATAAAGTGGAGATTGTGAAATGCAGATTACATTTCTATTGTTACTAGTTACTAATAATAAGGGTTACTAATAACATAAATATAAAATACAGTCTTTCCAGTTCTAAAGAGTTTAGGATTTGATGATGTCTAAACAGGAAAATCCTTAAATTTGCGGATAATTCTTCTCTACTGTTCACAACTTGCTGTCCATAAGATATATGATGAGAGAACATGGTAATTCTATGGACAGGCCTTCTGACAGGCCTGAGCATGAATGTATCCATAGCCAGACACTTCATAAAGGCATCCCCACAGGGACTTAAACATTTGCTCTAACACTGTAAATATGAGGTTACATACTTACCTAGTGCCTTTCAGGTTCATCACCGAATATGCTCATGATACACAAGTGCAATGCAGGTATCGGTGTCAGTATTAAAGTTATAAAAGCATCTTACCTATAGCAATAGTCTTAATATCAACAAGATAAGCCAGTTTCTTATTATCTTCCATTCCTCGCTGGCACCTCTTGTTGATACGGATGCTGAAACATGAAACAACAAGGTAAGGTAAAATGGGCTTAGCTAGGGTCTTCTGGAGGGTTCTGAAATAGCACATGGGACAACATTTTTAGCCTGATCTGGGGACATACACTTTAGAAGTCCCATTCTGGATATTCAGGGTTCAGTTACCTGATGAGGTGAGGGTTCATGAATTCAGTGTGTACAGAACCCAAGGAGTCATTACTCCCATATTCCACCAGGGTAAGCTCTCCAGCACTGAAGATCATGCACACCTGGGGAAGAATGAAGGCGGTGTGGAGAGAAGTGGGGGAAGGGGCACTGTAGTTCAGGGTGACCTCTCCCTGTCTTTTCCTGTTTCATCCCCACCCTTTACCTGCAGTCTTCCCATCCCTCGCCTCTCGCCCCTCTGACTAGAAGCTCCTGCTTACTGAAATGGGGGCAGGGAATCGTGGCTACTCACATTCTCATTTTCAAAGAAATATTTCTCATTGCCACCAGATCCCTGCAAGGCTATCTGCAAAGTGAGGAGAAAACATCATAGACAATGTAGACAATCACACAAGACAAGGCTGGAGGATGTCAGTGGCAAGGAAGAGAGATGGTATTCAAGGAGGTTTTGAAGTTACACAAAAGGTGCTCTGTATCAGACTCTTGCCCTGATCCTCATATTTCCAAGAGAAACCAGTCTGACTGTGGAAGTTTATATTCCAGGAAATAATATCAGAATGGTATCCTATGGGGAATCTTACTTCTTAGGGCCCACACCTTCAGAATTAGCAAGCCAAGACATCCCATTACCCACCATTCCTCTCTCGGTTCCTACCTCACTGAGGTGATTGGTGTTCAAGTCTCCGAGCAGCAGTGTGTCCGATGTGTGAGCCACCAAGTACCGTTCCTTCCCCAGGATCTTCACCTCTTCTACCTCATAGCCATAGTGGGACTTGAGCACCACCCTGGTCCCTGAAGACAGGTTCTTCACTTTCACCCGGGAAGGGACCAGTCCAACCCATCAGGCTTTCCCAGAGCAGGAGAAGAGTGAAGGTGCTCTGGTCCCTCACGCAACTCCAGGATACCTTGTTTCTCCCTCGGCCTGGGATGCTGTTGCTAAGGACAACACTTGCACCCACACAGGGGTTTGCTACCTAGGAAATACTTCCCCATGGCCTGGGCTGTCCATGGCCATTCGATTCTGAGAGCTCTACTCGGTAACACTAATCACTCACTTTGTTCCCGCACTTCTTAGTACAAAGCTCTTTACCAATGAAGACAGAATACTATATCATCGTTACTGTTATATAATTATGAACCTATTATTATCGTTATTATATCATCATGTGCCTAAGATGACATCCAACTGCCCATCCTCCTAAATGCTAAGATTTTCTTTCTTTTTCTTCCTCTTCTACTTGTTTTCTTTTTTGAGACATGTAGCCCTGGTTAGCCTGGAATTTGCTATATAGACCAGGCTGGCCTCAAGCTCACTGGCCACATACCAGAGCACAATGTCTTTTTTACAAAGAATTTGAATTACATGTGTGGGTGTGCACAAAGGTGAGTGCAGGTGCCGGATGTCGGAAGAGGGTGTTGATCCCCAAGGCTGAAGACCCAGTGATTGTGAGACACTAACATGGCGCTGGGAACTGAACTTGTGTTCTCTGTAAGAATAGTAAGAGCCGTATCTCTGGCCCTGGTGCGATGTCTTACAGATAAATTACCTTTGTACTCTCAGCCCTTAACAGATCTAACACAGCAGAGAAAGGATAAACGTTTCTGGAGAGACTGGAAAGATCCAGGAACAAACTGGTAATAAGAGCGAGGGAAGGGAAGTGGGAGAGTGAGACCCGTGCCTCTGGGACAACAGAGTCCTGCGCACTACAGTTCGCCAGTGATCATACACGTCCACAACTCTAGTGGGCGGCGCTGAGAACAGCTTCACACTGGGGAGATACAGGCACCAATCCCTGTATCTCTTTAGCCAGGTGTGAAACCTTTGCTTGCGATGGGTTAGAACAACTACGTAGCAGGAGGGTTGCCAGAAGTTGCCCTGACACATTCAGTTCCCTATGATAGCTCTGCCACAGGGAGGAAGGTTAAATTTGACACTGTGGCTGTGGCCAGCAGGTGGGGGAAATGTTACAAGGACAGATGAGCCACGAGAGGTCTCAGCATGCTAGGTCATCAGCTGCTCACCTGGCTGGGTCCCACATACGTCAGCTCAAACTTGTTCTTGTAAATACTCCTTCGGAGGCAGCAGTCAAACTGTTCCACCCCACCACAGAGGGTGCCCTGAGAGAGAGAGGGACAGCATGGAAGGCGATGCACGGCGCGCTGGCCAAGGACGGTATCTGGATATACCCCAAGACCTCAGACCTCAGTGTCACAATCTAGACAGAAGTGGCCAACAAAAGGGTGGGCAGGTTCTGAACATATCAGAAAAAAAAAGTGGCAATCCCAGGACTTACAGGGATCACATGTGGGTTGGACAATGAGGGGAAATCAGGCTGTCCTGGACAAGCGTGTCCCTCAAGGCCTCCTGGAAAGTGTGAGTTTCCCTTTCCTGCCTTTAACAGTAGATTTTTTTTAGGTTGAAGTCACAAGGCAGCTGGAGTTCTCTTGTGTCAGAGTAGAGCGACTCCCTTGGCATAGGGAGTAGTTTCTATTTTACTGTAGTTTGGAGACAATCGCCAGTACAGGAAGGGGCTCCTAACAACACACCGCACAGAGCCGGGAGCCGTCCCGCTTCCAGGCCAAGGCTGTGATGGTGTATAAGTTGGCAATCTCCTTGGGCTTGGCCTCTTCCCAGATGCTTCTTCGAGGACTCCAGTTGAACACCCGGAGTCTAGAAAGGTAAAGAGTGAAAATAGACCAGAACTGATAGGGAAGCATCTCACTCTACCAGAAAGGGAAGCAAACGCAAAAGGGCAGACCAGCGAGGCAGCCCAACGGGAGGGGAAAAGGTGCGGGGAGTTGAGGGAGTAGGGGTGAAAGGAGCAGGTAGAAGATGGATGCCAGGTGTGGTGGTACACGCCTGTAATGCCAACAGGAGAGAGGCAGAGGCAGGAGGATCACTGTAAGTTGGAGGCCAGTCTGGTCTACCCAGTGAGTTACAGGCTAGCTGGGGCCACAGAATGAGACCCTGTCTCAAAAACCAACAACAACACAAAAGCCAGAAGTAGAGACACCAGGACAGCAGGACAAGTGAGACAAACGGACTGCCAGGAGAGGGAAGAGGAAGAAACAGAGTGTAGGAGTCAAAGAAGGACGGAACCTAAGGAGACACGTGAGATTGGAAGGACATAAAGACAGACAGACAAAGAGACCTGACCCTAGCTGCTTGGCTGTTTCTTTATTCATTCACCAAATGGCGACTACATTAAAGACCATGCCAGTGCAGGCACTGGCGATGAAGACGGCTACTTAGTCTTCCTCTCAAACTAGAACACAATGACATAGTGGGGACAAGGCAGGGGGACATGGGGAACGCGATGGCCTCTGCTGTGGAGTCCAGGCTGAGTAGGCACAGCGCATCCTGAAGCAGACGGCAATCTGAGAATCCCTTTCAACAGACATTGCTTTTGTCCAGGTTCCCGCTGCAGTTCAGAACTTGGCTAGGGCAGAGCTCACAGAGAAAGGTAGAAGATGCAACTGGGCCGGGCGATGGTGGTGCACGCCTTTAATCCCAGCACTCGGGAGGCAGAGGCAGGCGGATCTCTGTGAGTTTGAAGCCAGCCTGGTCTACAAGAGCTAGTTCTAGGACAGGAACCAAAAGCTACGGAGAAACCCTGTCTCGAAAATCAAAAAAAAAAAAAAAAAGATGCAACTGGCTGGGGGACCTACCTGTCGTAGCTTCCTAGCACGACAGACTGGCCTCCAGGACTTGCTGCAGCTGTGGTGAATTCACGCTCCTGAGGATTACGGCTGTAGTCAAAAGTCTGTAGCACGTGGCCTTCCTTTCCATAGGCCACAATCCTCCGATCACAGCCTGCTGCCACGATGCTGTTGGTTGCCCAAGCCAAGGCATACGGTGGGCATGGGTGGTTAACCAACTTCCCCTGGGACAGACAGAATATTTCAATTGTTCGTTGCGAATGCTAGGCTAGCAGCTGTTCCACACACTCCTGACCATCCCACCCCGGAGAGAAAGTGAGCCTTCCTGCCAGCATTTCCCACATCAACACGCCCGAATTCTGAAGGCTTCACAGCCTGTCTCTGTATCATGAGCACACGCATGCCATGTGTACACGGGCCGTGTACTCACAGTGGTGTGTTGAGACCTCTGGTACGTACTAGTAAAGCCACCCAAAGAGAGACGACACACAGTAACCAACACTGTCTAGGTCCAAGAGAGTACATGGCTTCAAGAAGGGCTAAATTGAATTATGTGGGTAACTCACAATGTAAACGATTCCACAGTACTAAATTATACAGAGAAAAACAGCAAAGTTTCCCTGTATGTCTATCTTTTCTTTTTCCAAAAAAATAGTTAATTCTTTAACATCTTATTTATTTGTGTGTGTTTTTGTGTGCACATTTGCATATGTGCACACATGGTCAAAGGGCAGAGGATGACTTGCGGAAGTCACTTCTGTCCTTGCATGGCAAGGGTCCTGTCAGGTTTGGCACTGGGCACCTTTACCTGCTGAGGTATCTTGATGGGCTGTTAACTTCTTTCTCCTATGCATTTGGATGTATATACATTACATAAACATGTATATATATATATATATATATATACATACATACATTTGTGTATATGTATGTATTTACATAAATGGAAATAATTTTCACTTTTTGTCCCCCTTAGAGTCTTTATTTCCCTTCTTTCAAGGTCCCTTCCGCCCACTCCTCCCTATAAATAGTGAGCTCGAGCCTCCTGAATACCAGTCTCCGTGATGGCACCAAACGCTTCTCTCCAAGTTTGCCCTTTTCCAGTCATGGTGCTTAAACCTGCAGCTACCCCGGGAGGGCTCCTGGAATGTCCACCCCACCCCAGAGTGAGTGTGCGCCCTTCATACCTGTGACCCTCTGGAGCCTTCATCACCGAACAAATACCTGACGATGGTGCCGTCTGCGTGACCTGAGAGGATGCCTTTCCCAGAGCAACTGAAGGGCAGAGGCAGAGAGGTGGGCACAGAGGGAGGGACTTCCGCCCCGTGACAGTCCCCTTTCCATCAAATGCAGCTTTGTCCTGACAGTCCCAGTCTACTTCTGTTACTCACTTGGTTGTCAGCGCCACCACATACGAGTCCGTCCCATAGATGGTAGACGACTTGTTAGTTTTAGTGTTTGCTTATCGAACCTGAAAACCAAACAAGTCTGGCTAGGCTACTTACAGTGTCAGCCAGGCACGGAGAAACAGAAGTAAAAACGCCAAATGATAAAACTAGTCCTCATGCATTTTTCTCAAGTACGCACTTGAGCTCCAGGGGAAAGATGAACCATATTGCCCGGCACCCCAGGACACTATCCTCCCCAATACCTCACCTGTGTCTCCCTCTCCTCCGTTACCTTGCCTTCAGCCAGTCCGAAGACAATAATGTACTCTGCAGGCCACTGTAGACAGGTGACAGCACTCTGTATGAGAAGGGGTGAAAGGGTGACCCGCCTGTGTGGACTGGCACACTCAGAACAACCGCCACCCACCACACAACGTCATTCTAGTCCTCTCCACGGGGAAAGGCAGGCAGCGGACACAACAAGGCTCCCAAGCAGGTGACAACACCATCCTTTAGCAGGTCAAGTCGGGGTCAGACATTGAAAAAGGCAACTCCTGTTACATTTACAAGGAGGGAAGCAGGTGCGGCTCACCTCTGAACTTTACCGTCTGGATGAACTTGTTACAGATGACCTTCTTGTCACCCCTGTCAGACAAAAGGCAAGGAAGCAACCTTAAAAATCACTTCCCAATGAACTGCCCAACATGGCCCTCTGTGGGAGGTCTGATGGAGAAGTGAGTGGGTCCCCAAGGAGCCCTGGAGCTATGCCAATGACACAGCATATCACTGGCTCTCGGGACCTTCTGCTGGCTTACACTCATCCCTCCAGGGATGGGACTGCAGGACAGGTGGGGCAGGCAGAGGTGGACACAATAGAATCAGGCTCTAGAGAGTCCCTGCCTTCCATGCCTGATGTCATCGTTATCCCAGCGAGGTATTTCCCATGCCCAACTCTTCTTTAGTGGCCACAACCCGCCTAACCCCCATCCTGTCCTCACCAATCTTCTCCAATCTTGTAGACATAGATGATGTTGTCAGTCTGCCTGATGGCAATTTTAGTGGAATCAGGGGAGAAAGTCATGCCCTTTACCATGTAGCTCTTCCAGCCACACTAGGAGTAAAAACAAAGATAATGAGTAGAAATGAAGGAGAAAAGAAAACACACACATTTCCCAAAAGACCAGAAAGTTTATAGCGAGAAATAGAGTAGACTATTGCCCATGTCTACGGCTAGAAGGCAGATCACACAGCTTTCTCGGATAACGTGTTGGAGCACATGCGAGTCCTCTCTACCTTCATGTCAGCTGGCTTGGTGGAGAACTTGTCTCTCCGCTCCCCATGCTCATCGTACAGCAATACCACTCGGTCCACTGTGCAGACAGCATATTTAGCGTTGTTCTGGGACCAGGCCATACAAGTCACCTTCGCAGCTCCATCCTGCAGAGGCAAAGGGGTACTGTAAACACAGCGCTGGTCTCCAGAGTACAGAGCGTCTCCAGGTCCATCAGTCTTCGTGTGCCTTTGTTCTACATCTATGTCACAGGTTTTCTCTCAAAACTAAACAAAATGAGACAAATTGCTCGGATACCTGAACTGTAAGAATAATAGCCTCCAGGGCCTCACGTGGCCCAGACGGACCTCAGATTCACTGTATGGTAGGGATGACTTGAACTTCTGATCCTCCTGTCTCTACCTCCTGAGTGCTAGGATTCCAGGCGTACACCACCCTGTCTAGTTTATACCCTGCCGGGGACAGGACTCAGGGCTTCACTCGAGACAAGCAAACACTGTACTACCAGGCCACATCTCCTTGTCCCCTAATGTGTTTTTCTGAGACTCATGATACAAATGTAACGCATCAACCGTTCCAAAAGCAATGGCCTCCTTGTTCCTTCATCTTTCAGGTCTGCGACTGAAAAAAAAATCAATTAATCTGATAAATTTTAGTCTTTATAGCTACTCATTCAATTAATGTTTTCCAGTACTTTACTGTCAAAGACACTTGGCTGGAAGACGACAGAGAGACAAAGAGCAAAGCACAGATCCTACCCTAGGTTCTAATTGGACGCTGAGAAATTGGAAATGTCCCATAAGGAAAATATGTTCTGAGTGTAGTAATAATTTAGAGAAGCCCAAGACAATTTTATGCTTAAATGGTCAAGATTAAACTTTGAAGAAGGAATGCCATCGAATGGTAAATTACTTCAGATGTAATGAGTAGCATGAACAAAGTCAAGCTCTGGCCAAGGACCAGCAATTTAAGGAAGTTGAGACTGCCAACAAGAGAGGAGGCAGGGCAGGAAGCATAGACTGGGCTAGCTCAGGAAGCGTAGACTGGGCTAGCTCAGGAAGCATAGACTGGGCTAGCTCAGAAGGGCCTCTGGAGGCCACTAATGATTTGGATTTATTGGGCAGGAATACAGAGACAGTGTAAGTTTGGAAACAAGGAGCAACAGAATTAGAATTGAGACTTGGGATAAACAATGTCACTTTCCCCTGTTAAGTGTCCACTAAAGGTTCGTGGTGAAAGTGACCACTGCAAAAATGGGTACAGCCCAGATAATAGGGCGCTTGTCTGGCATTCATCAGTCCCCAGGTGTGAGCCTTCGCACTACACAAGAGTAAGCAAAGAAATAAAAAGAATATGGGAATGGCAGGAAAGACGGCACACACCTGCAATCTCAACACCTGGGAGGGGAAGGCAGGACGGTCAGATATTCAAAGTCCTCCACAGTTACACAGCGAGTTTGAAGTCAGCCTGAGCTATATGAGACCCTGACTTAAAAAAGAAAAACCAAAAAGAAAATACGTGATCACCACACAGTGAATTACTCTGCGTGTCCCTCGCCAGCTGTCCTCTCAGGCTCCTGAGATGAAATTTGGCTCCTATGCCAAATGTTGGATTCACCACTTGGGCTACTAGAGGTCTGACTTACAACACCTTTACTTTCTACACCTAACCCAAATACGTCCAGAGCCAGCAGGGGAATCACTGCCCCCAAATCCTCAAACTACAACCAGAAAATAGCGGCACCACCACCATGGTCATGAGCCAACCATTCACTACCGTCGGCTAGAAGGGGGTGCAGGCGCCTCATCAGCTTTGGCTGCTCATCCTCCTTCAAGGCTGTCCATCCTGGGCAACTGGCCCAGCTGCTGCACCATGACATCGTCTTTTTTTAGAGACCAAACGGTTCTATTTCCAATTTTTCCATTAGGGTATTTTGAAGTGACAGATAACAGTACCAGTTTACTGAGCAAGGAGTACAACTTTTTATTGTTCTACCACCGAGTGAGGGCTCGATCCCTTCAGCTTTCCTTTCTTCTAACTGACTTCTGCTCTCCTTACACAGTGCAAACATCCCCAAGACCCACAATCGATGGGGACGCGTTTCTCTGCAATACGTGCCTGACTGGACTGCCTGGGGGTTGAGTGGAATGGAAAGTAGAACAGGCATTTTCATAACTGCTTGACACCCAGTCGGTACCTCACCTCGTATCTCTGAGGCAGAAGCTATTATGATTCCCATTTTACATATGGGGAAATTGAGGCACTGAAAATTAAGAAAGCTGCTCAGTCACACATACAGTTTTTAGATGACAGATGCAATATTTGAATCCATGTATGTTTGATTCCACAAGCTATAAGTCTGTCTTTATGCTGTTGTGGCATATGTATTAATGACTTAATTCTGCCATATACTTTTTTTTTTCAGAATAGGAAAATTTATTACTGTGCTTCCACTGTCAAAATTTAGGATCTTGGTCTTTCCTTCTTGCCTTTGTACAGGGCCAAAAGGGACACGTTGGCTACTTTAACAACCTTAAAGTAGACTCCAAGGAATATCACCTACAGCATGATGACCCTTTCTACCAAATCCAGCAACCAGAACGTCATCGTTTTCCTCAATGAAGTTCAAGCAACCATCATTGGGGACGAAAGCTGTGATCTTCTTGGTGTTCTTGATGAGCTGCACCCTGACACACTTCCAGATAGCAGAATTTGGCTGCTTGGCTTCAACTCCTACTTTTTCCAGCACGATTCTCTTGGCATGAGAGGCACCTCCAAAAGGATTGGCCTTCAGGGCTGTGCCCAAGTGGGCTTTCATCTATTGTTTTTCATGCCACTTCTGGTCCCGGTGGTGGCTGCGGAGCTTCCTGGCAGTACGGAGACCACGACACTTGCTCATCTTGCCGATGCCACGGCCCGAGAGAAATAGCTCTGCCATATACTTTTATTTACTGTTGCCATTATTATTATTATTATTATGATTGAGACAGGGTCTCTCTATGTAGTCCTCTATCTCGTTTTGCAGACACCATGCCTGGCTATTCTTTTTTTTAATTAATTCAATTTATCTATTTTGCATCCTGATTGCACTTTCCCCTCCTCACTATTCTTCCATTCATCCCCCCCCCCCCACACACACACAATCCACTCCTCTTCTGTTTCTATTCAGAGATGGGCGGGCCTCCCATGGGCAGCAACAGAGCACGGAATATCTAGTTGAGGTAGGACTACACCCTACTTCTCCAGGAAACTCTAAAAGTCACACATTATTCTTATGTTTTAAAAGGAGGTCTTGGCTCTGTAGTCAGGCTGGCTTTGAGCACACAGCAAGCCTCCCAAATTCTGCGATTACAGGCAGGCAGCACCATGATCAGGTAACAGATTTCTTTTTGTAGTACTCGGGACGCATGCAGAAGCTCACGCATGCCAAGCACATGCTCTAGTACTCAGCAACATCCTCTGCAAGTAGCATATTCTTTTTATATGTTGGGGGTCAATGTGCCTATTTGGGTGTGCACACAGAGGCCAGAGGTCAACATCAAGGGTCTTCCTCAATTGCTCTTCACCTTGTTCTTTTGAGACAGGGTCTCTCCTCTCACTGAACCTTGGGCTCATGAATCTGACGAGCGAGCTCTAGGGACTCCCTTGCCTCTGCCTCCCCAGCACTGCGATTACAGGTGTGCCTAGCTTTCAAGTGGATGTCGGAGAGCTCGTGCTTATGAAGAGCCGTCTCCCTTACAGCCAGCCTTATTTGTGTTGTTAGCCTGTCCTCTCCATTTCCATGTCCTTCCCTGTGGTCTATCATTCTTCATACAGCTGTCCAGTTCATAATGCCCTTTCCATTTGTCCCTTACACCTCCATGACACAAGGCAGCAACAGGAGGTCCAGGAAGAGTCCCGGTGAGGCCCCAGTGTTGGTAGTGTAGCTGAGACCAATGATTCTCTGCGATGAACCCACACATGTAAAGAAGTATGGACAAAGGAGTATACCGTGTGACTCTCTGTGCCACCCTGCAGCTTCTACGACAAGATTTCCCCTTTTGTCCTTTTTTCTGTTTTTCCTTTTTTATCTTAAATTTTATTTGTGTGTGTGTGTGGGTGGGTGGGGGAGGTTGCAGGGGCAGAGGCTGGATGCAAGGGGATGGGAAATGGGTGAGATCGGGATGCATGATGTGAAAGACACAAAGAATAAATTAAAAAAAGAAAGCTAAAAGAATTTCTCCTTACATTTATTTATTGTGAGTGGTGGGACGGTGCCTGTGTGGCGGTCAGAGAACAACTTGCATGAATTGACTCATTCCTTCCCGTGTGTGGGTCTCAGGGCTCACTCAGGGAGTCAGGCTTAGTGGTAAGTGCCTTTATCCACTGAACCATCTCACTGGTCCAATTTTTCTTTTCTTTTTTCAAGATAGTCTCATGCAGCCCAGGCTGGCTTTGAATTGTCTATACAGCCAAGAATGCACTCCTGACCCTCTTGTCTTCACTTCCCAATTGCTAGGATTTTCGGCCGTTGGCGCCACCGAACCATGTTTATAGTGTGTGTGTGTGTGTGTGTGTGTGTGTGTGTGTGTGTGTGGTGTGTGTGTGTATATGTTGAACTTTACTTAACTCTCTCCTAAGGTTCTTGGAGTTGCTCTCACTACGGCTTTTCTTTCCCAAATGACGAAGTTAATGACAGAAAGGCCACGTATGATGAGGGGTTAAAGCCAGAGATACCTTTTGGTCAACTCAGTGCTAAACCTGAACTCGGATCCCTTCACTCCCAAACCTATCCTTCATGTTTTTGGGCTCCTCTCCTAGAGCCCAGCCGCTTCTGAATCTGAGACACACTTTCACAATTCAAATGAAGCGTCAGCCTTGCGCTTATTTCATCCTGTGTAGATTAATGCTCGTTGTCTAGATATGCGCCTCTCCCTCATAGCCTGTGACGTAACTCGACCCATAGAGCCTAAGCTTGGGGCCTGGCACTCAAATGCTGTAAGCGGTGCCATCAAAGTTTGCGGTCTTTAGCAATTCACGTAGCCTACTGAAAGATCTTTCACAATCTTCTGCACACAGCAGGCGCTCAACATTATAAACTTCTGTTACCCCACTTTTTTTCTTTTGGAACTCCCGGTGGCCGGGGAATGGGAGTCACGCGATTCCTCACCTGAGGGCTCAGCAGGGTCCTCAGGTGCTTCAACTGCGTGACGCAGGTCTCGAATGATCGTTGACCAAGACAACTCCCGCGGTTACCTGGACAACCCGCCAAGCAGCGACGGCGCCAGCCACTGACGCACAGGCAACGTGAGTGCGACATACGTCATAAGGTCACGTAGTGGGTTCGCGACCGTGCAAACCGGATGTGCGCAAGCGCAGTGAATCCTAGGGCGGGCACATAAGAGGAGGTCGTCGAAGTCTATCCTCGACCAATCCTGTACTTGCATGCAAACTCAACGCAAAGCCCCACCCGCAAGTCTTCCTCTGTCCCCACCCTCCCCAACCCCGCCCCTAGATCCTGTATCACTTTAACCCCAGCTTTTCTCCTTGCTGTAACCGGCCAAGTGTGCTTTAGTTGCTTTAACTCTGGAGAAGCACAAGGCAGGTGCTACGAGAGCGAAAGCCAGTTCGCGGAACTGCAGCCTCCGCTTTCCTCGCCAAAAGTTCTGTGACTCGCGCGAGGCCACTCAATACTGATAGGGACCAGTGAATGCTCAAGGATATACCTGTTTGAAGTGGGCAGAGGTACAGTCCCATTTTACACAACAGGAGGGGGTCACACGCCAAAGTTGAAACAGCTAATAAACGGTGGAACCGGGATTCAACCCAGAGCTGATAACCTTTTAATTCCCGTGAGACGATTCAAGTCTTCTCAACTCGTTGTCTCTTTGTTCAGCTTCTCTAACCTGTAACACGGTCTCAGGAAATGATCGGGGTTTGGTAGCACTGGCTAGGGAAAGGCAAGGCACCCTGTTTGATCATTGGGTAATAGGTGAGTTCAAGGCTGCTTGCCGAAATCCAGATGTCTTTATGGGTCAGTGCAGCAGACAGAGCTGGGCTGGCCTCCTAGCTTAGAGCTGTGTGACACCTGGGGTTGGGGCTTGACTAAGAAAAGATACTATTGTCTTTATTTTGTTTGATTGGAATGCTCTCAAGAATTTTTGTTATCAGACAGATTGACTGAAATTCAGAAAAGAAGGCCTTCTCTCTCTAAACGGTCCCAGGTTGGCAAGACTTATACCACCCAAAAAGCATAGCATATGATCTCCAGACCGAAGCTGGGTCCCAAAACCTTGCATGCACAGCGGTTGCCAATGGCAACGAATATTTCTCTCCCCACCACTACCTCCCTCTTGAAAAATTAAGAACGAGTAGAGGGCAGTTCCTATTTTTCACAGATAACACAAATAGGTCCCAGAACCCAGATTATAATTTTTTTCTATAGGGGCACCCAAACCCCTTTGTTTTATTTCTAGAATGCTCTGGATATGGTACAGAGTATAAATATAAATGCCTTTGTGGATTACAATTATTAACGTTAAACAAACAGAGACATAGATGAAAGAGAAAACGGAGAGGAGGGACTGGTGTGCACAGGGTGAGGATACATGGCACCAAGAGACACATCCGTGATAGCTGCTCTTTGGCTAGCCCCCCCATGACCCTGCTCAGTCCTTCTGACCATTTTCCCAGAGGGAATGGTGGAGTTGAAAGAATGGGGAGGGGGTCGGTTATGTAACCCAGTGGTAGAGCATTTGCCTGGTATGCACAAGGTCCTGGACAAAGATAAAAGAAAGAAAATCTACTGGCCCTTTTATGGTGACATGGCCTGGTTTCCATTGGTGCAAAAACTTCTGTGTCTTCTCATTGCACACCTCCCCCACAATTCAACAAAGCCAAAGAAAGGAGGCTTCTAGATTCTGCACCTTTTCCTTGTCTTTTCTTCACCCGTCTTAGACGAAAACACGGACACAAACATCCTATAATGGGTCTGTTCCTTTAAGTTGGTGGTGGTGTGAGGGGCCCTTGGAGAACTGAGAAGGTGTAGAGATGCCTTCAGCATACCATACAGTCAGTTCCGGTTTGTCCAAGAACCTTTATTGGAAAAATGTCCCAGGGGTGAGATCACCAGCAGCGGGAGGGGCTGCCAGGTGAGAGGGGAGCACCTGAGGCTCCGTGGAAGACATTGGAGTAGTGCAGTGTGGCATCTGCCTCGAGTCCCAGATGCTTGCTTCCTCTTCCTCCGTGGAAGAGGGCAATACAGACAGAAACAGCCCTCTCTGAGGCCCAGAGGCAAGCTGTAGGGGCAGCTAGTGGATGCCAACGGTCCTGATGCAGGTGAGATGGGGCCCCATTTGGGACCTAGTGGGATAGGGTCGAATAAATGACTCACCTGGACCTGGGAGATAGGAGATGTTCCATTTGATATCCACTACCAGGTCCAGGAGTACAGATTCTAACAGACCTACCTTCTGGCCCTGCTCACAGTGGAAAGAGGATGGGTACCAGCCTGGGATTCTGGGAGTGCACAGCCTTGTGGGAGTCTCAGAGAGATCACCAACTTAGGCCTCCCTGACCCCACCCCCCATTATCAGTGCATCTCTCTTCTGGTTCTGGTTCTTCAGTCACTCAGTTCACTCAAACGTCGATGGTGTTGATAGAAGGAGACTTTTTCTATGAGAGAAGATTACCCAAATCTCAAATTTCAGACAGGTAAAGGTGCTGCTCCCGCCTTCTGGACTCCTTCATCCCAGACATCCCATTCCCGCCCCACCCCCCTTCGCTGCCTATTCTGCTTTTCACTGAATACTCCTGGGCACCCAGATCACCCTTCTCACACTCACTGGTCCCCACGTCACCTGTCTTGTCCCCACTGGCCTTCCCTGAGGACTCTGTTCAGGACCCTTCCCCTTCTCCTTGGGGTTGTTGTTGGAGTCGTTGTCCTTGATGATGTCATACTGACCGCAGAATAGCCCGATCACAGCTGAAACACAACAATACCATCTGAGCCTTGATCTTGACCTCTCATTCACAGCCTTGAGGCTGTAACAGCCTCACAACTTCTAGAAAATCCTGGAATTCCTGGGGCCCATACAACCGTCATCCCTGGCCATGCAATAGCCTTCTCTCTTTCTCCCCAAACTTGTCCTGATTACCTCCCTCCACCAGCCATCCCCCCCCCACACACACACACACTCCTTTTCTCTCCTTTTTCTCCTGACGGGTAACCTTCACCACTTCCCACTATCATGGACCCAACTCCCTGGCTCCCCATCCGGTACTCACCAGCCCACATGAGCAACACCACCACAATGATGACCACTTCCCCGGTCCTGATCTGCACGGTGTAGTCACTGTCTTCAGCCAGGGCCCAAAGAGCACAGGCCCTAGTGGTGGTGTTCACCTCCCTGATTACACGCTGCCCAGAGAGCCTTTCTGTCGCTGCAAGAAGATGTAGAGAAAGGAGAACAACATAGGCCCGGTCTCTGACCATGAGGCTTAACTCAGGATTCTGTAACATCCAAACACTCCAAAGGAGTAATGTGCAGGGGTGTTCAGAGACCCAAGGGCACAGGTTGGGGAAACAGGGTGATTGGTACTTGCTGGGAAATGGAGTAGCCAATGACGATGCTGCCTTCTGGGACGTCCCAGGACACAGTGGCCGAGTTGGCTCTGAGATGAGTGACCGTCACATTCACAGGAGAGGGAGGTCGGTCTGGGGGTGCCAGGGTGTTAACAGGTTAAGAAGTTTCACTTCCACACTAGCTCTGAAGGACTCCCACTGCGGGCGTCCTCTTCACTCACCTGCTTGCACAAAGCCCAGGTCACAGCTGACCAGCAGGAGGACCTTGGGACTCAGATATGGGGAAAGAGGCATCAAAGAAGCCATGGTTTCCACCGAGTTAGCCGAGGGGCCCGGAGGCATCCGCTTAACATCCGGGGGGGGGGGGGATCCTGGAAGAGGCAGGAGTTGTGGGGGTCAGGAGCTGTCCAGAACGCAAGCGGGATGCAGCAGCTCTCCCAGGCTTCCCACGGCCCATAGCCCATTTTCCCCGCTCCTTTCCCTCCTCCGCATAACCCTGGTGCCCACCCCAGCCCCCACCCGCGCAGTCGGATCAGCCCACACTCACCTGCCGGGTCCTCGTGGTCGGTCAGGCCTCGGGGGGTTGTTCGGTGCCCAGGGGGCGGCCCATCGCCGGACTGGCGCTGGCCCTACCCCATCCCGACGCGGGACCGCCTAGGCGGGCAGCGCCGGCCGAGCTGCGGGCAGAGAGGGCAGAGGCGGAGTGGCCGCGGGCCGCAAGTCTGCGGGGCCCCCAGCGTTCCCGAGGGCCACGCATAGTCTGTCTCGGAGCAGAGGGCGTTGCCGGCTAGGCCTGGCAGCTGGCCTGTGTCCCCGGTGCAGAGGACAGTGCGGCGGCCGAGGCTGGTCCCCTGCAGCGGGATGTGACCGTCCGGGCCAGCCAGCCGCCTCCTTCTGCAGAGCTGGCCACGCGCGCTCCGCTGCAGCCCGGCTGGAACGTGCGGGCCCGCCCCGCCCCGCCCCGCCCCGCCCCGCCCCGCTAGGGTTCCCGTCGCCATCATCCAACCCCCCCCCCCCCCCATTACCTACCCCGCCAGCCTTGTTCTCTCGGGGCTCCTCCCATGACCCTCCCAATGGCGGCCTGCTGGGCCCTTATTCCTTCATCCTTCCTGCTCTAGTAGATGAACTGACTGGGGTACCCGGACAGGTGCAGATGCGAGGGTCTAGGGCACCTGAAAAAGCCCCTCCTTCCCGGCATGAAATTAGCCAAGTTGAGAGGAGGCATTCCATCTCCGAAAGCAGGAGGGGGCTGAGAGGAGAGGAGACAGACTGGTGAAGATGATAATTGTTTTAACAATCTCTTGGAGACTGCGTCAGCCTTTAAGTCTCTTTCCCATTCATGATCTGATTGGATTCCATTTGCTTTCTCATTCATTCTTTCATTTTTTTTTCAGCAAATATTTACTGAGCATCTTCAGTGTGCCTTCCTTTAGAAGAGCTGGAGATGACTTTAAAAAATGCTGGGCATATAGGAACAATTAAAAAACAGACCCCTCTGTCTCTGTTTCTCTCCCTCTTTCATGTGTTTGTGTGTGTGTGTGTGTGTGTGTGTGTGTGTGTGTGTGAGAGAGAGAGAGAGAGAGAGAGAGAGAGAGAGAGAGAGAGAGTAATTCATTCGTTTTTAGAGAAATCCATTAACCTGCGCCTCAGGTTTCCCACCTGTAAAGCATAGAATCCTGGAACAGAGCTTAGACTATCAAATGTGACAATGCTGGACAAAGGCCTTTAAAAGCCTCTGCTAGTGTATGAAGTGCTGTTCCTTTGCGCCAACTTGCTAGTTGTTGCAAAATTCATTCAGGAAGCATGTAAGTCCTTAAATTATTTCATAGTTTAGCTGAGTGTGAAATCTGTGTAATACTAAACAACTGACCACTCCTCTGAGCCCATCTAAACACAAGGCTGTCAGCAATGACCCTAAGTGTCCACGTATCCGGGGATGCCTACCATTTGGGGGAAAGAGACTGGCTGTATTTAGGGCAGGTTCTTTGGTTTTCATTCTTCTTACAGTATTTCTATTTCCGTGAGTTTTCCTCTGTGATATCCAGTTCAGTGCATGTACACCTGGGGCCCAGCAGCTTCTGTTGCTTTTCTTTCTGCAAGGAGAGGATAAAATGGGCCAGTGGGGCAGAGAAAGGCTGCATGCTGGCATGTGATCAAGCCATGGCCCTGGTCCTCTGACTTCTACTGACCCCGATCTCTGGCCTTCAGAGGTATTTGTGCCCCAGAGTTCTCTTTGCTCTGACCTGGGTGTTGTTCTGCCCATCCAGGCTCCCAGCCTTCCAGAGGGTCCTGTGTCTGAAGGGCAAGCACAATGCCCTTCTGGTCCTCTTCTTCAAGAGCAAAGCAGAGGCTGGCAAGACAGAGGGTTATGCAAAGAGGACCCTCGGGAGCTCCTGCAGAGGGCTGGGAACTAGTGACAGGAGCGGGTGTTGAAGAGAGGAATGCAGAGGTGGTACTCACAGACACAGAGCCCGCAGGTTAATCATCTCCATGGCTCAGATAAGACCCTGCCAGCTGGAAGCAAAGCTATTGTCACCAGAGAGGGTTGTGTGACTGCTAAATCAAAAACACCAATGATAGCCTTTGCTGGAGAGGCTGCGGAGGAAGGGGGACCCTCATCCATTGCTGGTGGGAATGCAATCTTGTGCAACCACTTTGGAAATCAGTGTTTCGGTTTCTCAGGAAATTCGGGATCAACCTACCCCTGGACCCAGCAATACCACTCTTGGGAATATACACAAGAGATGCCCTATCATATGACAAAAGCATTTGTTCGACTATGTTCATAGCAGTATTATTTGTAATAGCCAGAACCTGGAAACAACCTAGATGCCCTTCAATGGAAGAATGGATGAAGAAAGTGTGGAATATCTACACATTAGAGTACTACACTGCGGTAAAAAACAGTGACTTCTCGAATTTTGCATGCAAATGGATGGAAATAGAAAACACTATCCTGAGTGAGGTAACCCAGACCCAAAAAGATGAACATGGGATGTACTCACTCATAATTGGTTTCTAGCCATAAATAAGGGTCATGGAGTCTACAATTGGTGAACCTAAAGAAGCTAAATAAGAAGGTGAAGCCAAGGAAAAACATATAGTTATCCTCTTGGCTATGGGAAGTAGACAAAATTGCCGGGGAGAAAATTGGGATCTTGGGGGTGGGGTGGGATGGGGGTAAGGGGAGATGGGGAGAGAAAAGTGAGAAGGGGAGGATGGGGGGAACTTGGGGAAACAGGATGATTGGGATAAAGGAAGGTTGGACAGGGGAGCACGGAAGCACAATTCTTAGTTAAGGGAGCCACCTTAGGGTTGGCAAGAGACTTGAACCTAGAGTGGCTCCCAGGAGCCCAAGGTGATGATGTCCCCAGTTAGTTCCTTGGACAGCTGAGGATAGGCAACCTGAAATGACCCTATCCTATAGCAATACTGACGAATATCTTGCATATCACCATAGAACCTTCATCTGGTGATGGATGAAGATAGAGACAGAGACCCACACTGGAGCACTGGACTGAGCGCCCAAGGTCCCAATGAGGAGCAGAAGGAGGGAGAAGATAAGGAAGTCAGGACCACGAGGGGTGCACCCACCCACTGAGACAGTGCGGCTGATCTATTGGGAGCTCACCAAGGCCAGCTGGACTGTGACTGAAAAAGCATGGGATAAAACCGGACTCTCTGAACATGGCGAACAAAGAGGGCTGATGAGAAGCCAAGGACAATGGCAAGGGGTTTTGATCCTACTTCATGTTTTGGCTTTGTGGGAGCCTAGCCAGTTTGAATGTTCACCTTCCTAGACATGGACGGAGGGGGGAGGACCTTGGACTTTCCACAGGGCAGGGAACCCTGACTGCTCTTGGACTGGAGAGGGAGGGGGAGAAGAGTGGAGGGAGGGGGAGAAGGGTGGGAAGAGGGGGAGGGAAATGGGAGGCTGGGAGGAGGCGGAAACTTTTTTTTTTCCTTTTCTCAATAAAAAAAGAAAAGAAGGGAAAAACTGGGGCAAAAGATACAGGCTTTTCCCATGCTGCTTGGGCTTGTCCTTCCTCCCTGTCTCTACTGTCCTTGACATGGAAATCTTTATCAGCGTCCAGCCAACTGGACACTGAGGGGAGGACACAATGCCAAGTATGGTAACCACCCTGGGGAAGCCACGTGACCCGCTGTGATAATCTGGTTGGACTCTAAATAACAATGTCTGTCTGCCTTGGATACCTGCTCCAAACCATGTTCAGTTTCTCCTACTGCACTCCTGGGGAGGTGGGGTAGAAAGTCCCATCAAAAGCCAACACCCCCCAAAACCCACCAATCTCACACCATGGTCTTCAAACGAGAGTACTACCACATCCCTAGGAAGATGTAGGCCGCACTTCCCTGAGAGTTGAGCTGCTCACCCCTCGGTCTAGGACGGAGCTGGAAATGCCCACAAGGGCTACTGACCCAAGAGTCAGACTCGGAGAGCTCCCTGGCTGGAGGAACCCATCTCAGGAGTGCCACGGAGGGCTGCTACCTACACAAGGCCTCTGTTTCAGCTGTCACCTTCTCTTCTAGATGAAGCCAGTGGGTCACAAAGATGAACTGTTTGATGCATCAGAGAGAGAGAGGATGGAATGTCCATCTCAGGTAGGAGACACTGGGCTGGGTGAGGTGAGGTGTGGGTGACAACGTGGACTTCACTGAAAAGTGGGGTGTTACTGAGACTTTAGCCCTGAGAGTCTTGGGCCTGCTGTTCTGGACCTGAGCACAGGTTGTCCTAAAACTGATTCCTGTGCACTGTGGGAGCAGAGTGAAGACCCTTCATACTTGTGGGCAACACAGGAACAAGGCCACAGCTCACCTGGCCTCCAGTTATGGTCCCGCTAGCCTTCTTGGGCCCCAGGTGCCACATCTAGGCCTTTCTATACCTCGGGAGGCAGAGCTGATGAGGTCCTAAGGAGTCTTGAAGGCTGTATCCTAAATATGTGCCCAAAATGTAATAAATCTACAGATAATCTTTCCAAAGACATGGATGAGGAAATAACCAAACATCAATGATGGAAATTCCTTCTCTCGTGGAAGGCAGGTTGATTTGGGGGGAGGGTTGCTTTCTTGATAGCAGAATTAGTAAGTTTATTGTGATTAGGCAAACCTCCTTTCCTCTTTGTTCTGACTTCCAAGAAACTTAAAATGAGGTCTTCTGTCTGAGATTTCTGTGTTTAACTGGGTGATACAGACCACTGAGACAGAGAAGGAGAACGTATCAGAGATGACTAGCTTGAAAGTGGGCCATTTCAAAGCCCTGGGGACCTTCTTCAGGAGGCCATCAGGCAACAGGAAGAGAAGGGGCAGGGAAAGGTCTGGATTCATGGAGAGGATATGTGTGAAAACTCAGTGTTAGAATCCAGCCACTGCCCAGGCCACAACACCCTCGGCAGCCTTTTCCCAGTCACAGAAACTGACAGATACCTACCGGGTCCCCGGCTAACAGACCCCTGGGGCCAGGGTCTCTGCACTGGGAAGAGAATTTATATCCAAGGGGGTGGGGATATTATCACATACCTTCTTCCCCAGCCCTTTCCCTGGCTCATGTCCAGTTCACAGACTTCTACTGTGAAACCAACCCCCAATCTCATTCTGCACCCAGGCTCTGTACAACTGTTCAGAGACCCCACCAGGCTGCCTCTCTCTGGGCTCTGAGCTGTCCTTGGAGCCCTCACCATGTATGTTTTATCTTTCTGCTTGTCTGTGACACTCCTAACTTAAAAAAAAAAAAAAAAGGTAAACTTCTACTCCCCAACACCCCTCCTCAGTGTCTCTCTTGAACCCTGCCCCCACCTGAAACCTTACATCATGAACGTTTCAGTTAACCATATCAAAGATGATGGGCTTGATTACTATGGGATGGAGAGCTCTGTGTCATGGCTATATGTTACCTTTCTCTGCAGGAGA